TATGAGACGAAAGAAGTATATAATTATATAGATCTTTTTAATATTAATATAATAACAGAAAATGTAAATAGAAAAGAACTATTCCCTCTGTCCCAAACAAGGTGCAACATTTGCTTTTGGCACGGGTTTTTAGGTGGGTAGTATTAAGTAGGATAATTTAGAAATTAGGTGATGCGATGGAGAGAAAAATATATATTTTATTTTTTATTTATATGATGTCAGAGGATAAAGTGTGGGGTGGAGATTAACTATAATTAATTATTTCCTATTTTAAAAATATTGGTGTTTGGGACATACTGAAAAAAAAAAATATTGCAGGATATTTTATACGGAGGAAGTAGATTTTTAGGGTCGATAGCTCTTCCTTGTCTTTTTCTTAGAATCTTTATATTTTAATTTTTTGGTGTGGGGCCAACAAGTAAATGATAATAATGCTATAATATAATTCTTAGTGTAGTCCGGTGGGAGTTTTATCTTTTTGTTATGTGGTCATTAATTTGATTAAATATTATAATAATAAATTTTCTATTTCATCCGTATATAAGAAAAGAGTTACATTTATTTTTTTATATTATTATATTTAATATTAAAAAAAATTATATTTGTAATTTTTTGTACAATGCGTCTTTCTATTAGTATTTTAATACATTTACATAAGTATTTTTGTCATTTTTTTTTTAATTATACTATATTTTGAAAAAATAAATTAATAGTCCATCCATTGAAATTCAAAATACTTTTTTTTTTTTTTAGTTTATCTCATTTTAAAGTATCTTTTTTTATTTTAGAAAAAATAATAATTATACACTAATATCAAAATACTTTTAACTTTTATTTAAATTGCAAATATACCATTACACGTACAATGACTTTATACAAAAAAATCAAATGGAAAAAATGTCAAAATATCTTACACATTTCCACTAACCAATAAAATATTTCATCGGTCTCATAAGAAGGGTTCCATTTTTCATTTTTATCCGTCCCAAAATAAGGGTATTATTTTCTAATTTAGTAATTGTACTACCTACCGAACATAATAAATACCCTTCCAACTTACAATATATTACACAAAAGCGATCACCTTTATATTCACAATACTAATAAGTGTATTTTAGTCTTTTTTTTAACTATAATCAAATATAATACTAATATTTAAAAATCTACATGCAAATAGTAAACGCTACTCTTTATATGGTACGGAGGAGACGGAGGGAGTCCTATCATTTCTTATTCTAATAAAAAACCTCAAATAGTCTTTTTCAAAAGGGACGAAGAAAGTATTCAAAGATCAACATCCAAAAAATAAATATGATATTTAGAGTCAGACGGAGATAGTAACATTATTTTTTCTGTCTGGTCTATTGTTTACCATTTTTTCTTAGACTCAGAGGTTAAAAAATAATGATGTTTTAATATAAAAGTTGGATAGATAAAAAATAAAGAAGAATATTCTACTCTTTCCGTCTCATTGAAAGGTTGTTATTTTTCATTTTCGTCCGTCCCAAAATAAGATTATTATTTTCTAATTTAATAATCGTACTACCTATCTAATATAATAATATTCTTCCAACTTACACTATATTATACAAATGTCATTACTTTTATATTACAAAATACTAATAGTGATATTTTTGTCTTTTTCATTACAATCCATTATAATACTAATATTTAAAAATTTATATGCAAAAAGTAAACGACAATCTTGCACCGGAACGGAGAGATAAAAAAAAAATTATTAAAGAAATAACTCTTCCTGACAGTTTCTTTTTCTTAGAATTTTTAATTTTTTATTTTTGTTGTGGGGCCACAAGTAAATAATTATAATTCTGTAATCTAATTCTTAGTTTACTCCGGTGGGAGTTTTATCTTTTTTTTTACGTCGTCATTAGTTTGAATTTACATATATTATAATAATAAATATTACTTCCTCTTATTTGTCGTACGTTGGATGTTTGCGTCACTGAATTAGTAAAAATAATTATTTTATAATATAAATAATTATAAATTAAGGTTAAAATAAATAATTAGTTTAATTAAAATTCAAAAAATTAAATTAAAAATTTTAAAATGATATTAAAATGTATAATTATTTTTCAGAAAAAGAAAATAACATAGAATGTGGAACGGACAAAAACATAATAAGTAGGACGGAGGGAGTACTAATTATACTATTTCAAACCATTTTTCTTAGACAGTAAAAAATAGTGATGTTTTAATGTAAAAATGGGATAGGTAAAAAAATAGAACAAATATTATAGAAAATTTATTTAAGAAAATAATTAAAAAATATTAATAAATAGATAAAGTAATGATAAATTAATTATAATTTGTTAAGTATGAATAATAAATTTACAAGTGAATAAAATTGTTTATAATAAATGATCTGTACATGATTTAACGTAAAAATATAAAAATAAAATAAAAATATGACATAATTATAGTGGATGAAAGAATGAATATTATTTTTGTTATTTGTTATGTTGTATTTTTTTTATATCTTGATATTTAATTTTGCTAGATTTTGAAAATAATAAATTTTAATTTAAAATAATTTAGTGTGATATTTAAGTAAAAAAATAAAATTTAATGTAATATAGTAAATAAAAAATATATATACAATGTAATTTTTTTTTTTTGGAAAAAAATTATTCATTTCGTAAATATCATTTTCTTCCTATGCTTTAATTTGATGCAAGAATATTGATATGAATAAATATAAAAATTAAGGGTATTTGAAATGTGTATGATAAGTTTATACTCACTAAAAATTAATAAATTATCCTATCTTGATTCAATTGATATATATTTTTTGACATTGGATTTGGAAAATAATACTTCTTCCATAATATTTTTGGACCGAAAAAGTAATATTTGATTGATGAAAAGAGTAATATTCATTGGTAAATGGAATAAATATTCTTTTTGTCTTTATTCTTTTAGCGAATATATATATATATATATATATTAATTCAAGTCTAAAATTAGTCACATTTGAGTCTAAAATTAATCACATTTGAGTGAATACTTAAGGTATGTTTATTTTTTATTTCTAATAAAAAAATTTCATTATTCCACTTACATACTTTCCACTGAAATTTATATTTTATTTCAAATTAATTTTAACTTATAACAAAACAAATAAAAATAATAATAATAATTATTATTATTATTATTATTATTTGGATTAAGTGAGTGTGTTAGTATCGATAGATATTTAAAATAAGTTGTTGAAATTTCAATTTAATAAAATTCATATTTAATCAAAAATATACTCTCTCCGTCTCAAACACCCTGCAATATTTTATTTTTGGTATGTCCCAAACACCCTGCAATATTTCCAAAATAGAAAATAATTAATTATACTTAATCTCTACCCTACACTTTATTCACACATATCATCTAAATAAAAAAATAAAACATATATTTCTTTATCTATCACATCACCTAATTTATAAATTATTCTACTTAATACTACTCACCTAAAAACTCGTGCCAAAAGTAAATGTTGCACCTTATTTGGGGCGGAGGGGTACCATCTATAGCAAATTGAATATTAGTATAATTTGATTGGTGTGATAAATGTATTTAATTTTTAAAACCATTTTTATATTACAATTTCTTTATTCTTTTAGCTATAATAATGTACTTTAATCATTCAATAATTATGTGGGATAATAATTTGATAAGGATGATCTACGTTGGAGCGTTACCAAGTTAGGAATTTTATTACAGAATTAACAAGAGTACGAAGAATACATTATATTTATAGCTAAGTCCTAGGTTAATAATATTCAAATTATATCTCTAAATTTATGATATAATATCCAAATCATATTACCTATGGAATAATGTTGAAATATGCAATTGTAAAATCTGTGGAAAACCCTACAAAAAAAAAAAAAAAAAAAAAAACGAAAACATTTACCAATTTATTACATGTTATTTTCTATTGACAACTTCTTTGATGCACTGGCATGTGAATTATTAACATACTAATTCGGATGATACGTATCATCCTTGTGATTCCTCGACATGGAAACACTTTAATGTAACCTATTCTTCATTGACATTATATCGAGGACTAGAAATGTGAGTTTTGAAAACTATTTGGCAGTCCCGGTAACAATTTCTTTTTAAATAGTTGTGATTACTTCTTACAACCTTTCACCAAGTATGTGTTTGAAGGATGAGTATCTTATTCTTTCACTTATATTACAACCTTCTGTATCTGTCTGCTATTTGAAAACTTTCGCGCCAGTTCTTTGCGATTATTATTTTTATTTTCATTTTTTGTTTTTGTTTGATATTGATTTTATTAGATAGTATTTTAATACTTCCTCCGTCCAATTTCTATTGTTCTAAAGTATATTTGGACGGTTTTTTAGGTGATTGTCTTTTTGTTATGAATGGACAAATTTACCCTTAAGTGTATGGTACAGATTAAAATAATAAATGAATGAATGATAAAAATGTAAAATTTGTGTTTAAAAAATGAAATAGGATAATAGTTGTTGGATGTCCCAAATAAAAAAATAGGACATTAGTTTATGGACGGAGGGAGTATAATATTTTGCAAATATACTTTTTATTAAAAATCCTTACCAACCTTAATTTTGGTTTCAAATCAAAATCACACACACAAATGTGTTGCGGCGTATAAACTGTAGTGTGGAATATGTTTTTTTGTTAGAGACGTCATTGTAAGATTATATATATATAGCATAGAAAAAAAAAAAGAAAAAAAAAAGAAAGAACAAGTATATATTACTCCTTCCATCCGCCTATAAGGATTACATTTATTTTTTGCGTTATTGTACTTTAACATTAAAAATATCTTTATATTTATATAACTTTTTTTTGTACAAATATCATTCTATTAGTACTATAAGATACTAATGGAAGTATTTTTGCAATTTTTTCTTAATTTGTACTACGTTTTAATATGATAATTAATATTCAAATACCAACATGCAAAAAGTAAATGAGATCCTTAGAGCTCGACGAATGTAGTAATTTATTTCTTCAAACAAAAAATATCGAAATAATAAGTTATAAGCTATATGACTCGTTATTCACTCTCATCATGAGTCCCTCATCATCAACATCTCAAGTTGTTCCCTGGATCTACCTGAAGCTGCTGGCAAAGCTCTGTGTAATATCGAACCCGGGAGGTCACCGTGGCGGGGTTTCCACCATTGCATTCTAGCGCGCCATTAATGGCATTGATCGTAGCGCCGAAACCTTGCCCAGAAATGATCAAGTCATGGCAATTGTTCATCCAATACCACAGTGCCGTCTTGAAAGATATGACTCGATCTGTTGCCACAATGTCGGGATTGTTCAAGCCATCAAAACCTATGCTATTCCCGGCCGGTCCATAGTTGAAGTTCCACGACAATTGGATTGGCCCTCGACCGTAGTAAGCCCTATTGGGATTGCAAGGATATTGTTCGTTCATCTCGTCACAATAGTCCCCGGCAGGCCCGTTGATCTCGTTGATATAGCACATATCTGTATCGAAAATGAATGTTAAAATTTTATTATCTAAAAAAAAAAAAAAAAAAAAATTGGCTCAAAATATTATATTAAAAGTTTATTTTTATTAGTATTGTTAATTTTCTATTTTTAATAATTTAAAGTTCTTGTTTAAATAATATTTTAATATAATACTTTACTAAAAAAATAATAATATATTTTTATTAAAAAAGAAATTTTGATTTTTAACTAAAACCAAGCTAAAAAAAAATTATAATATAATTTTATTAAAAATTAAATTTTGGTTTCTAACTAAAACCAAGCAAACCCATTGGAGCTGTTTAATAAAAGTATTTGTTGAAAAAAACATCAGTAAAACTAACGGCATTGATTTATAATACTCTCTATTACCAAAATTTATATTTATTTTTAATTGTTATTTTTTTTTTATTTGTCACCTAAAAAAATATTCTTATCTTTTTAATTTAGTGAAAAATTATACTATTTTTTTTATTTTTTATTTTTATTATAAGTGATAAAATATATGCACCATATTAAAAACACGTACCTAAAAAATTGAACACAATTTTTTAGCGATGGAAAAAGTATATTTTAAAATTCCAAAACTCATTTTATTGGGTTTGCTTGTGATGTTTTTTACTTAAACTTTTATTCTTCATAATTTTTTTATCGAGTAAAATGTTTTTTAGTCTCGTATCTGATCCAATTTATTATTTTAGAACTTTAAGTGGACATTGTCTGAAAATAGTCTCGTAAGTAAAAAATTTTCGCTAAAATGGTCCTCCTATGTCAGAATTGCCACTCTGGCCAGCCGTTGTTCATGCGGCTGATATGTCATCGCCACGTAGATGTCACGTCGAAGGACCATTTTTAGAGAGAAATTTTATTTGCAGGACTGTTTTTAATCAGAGTTCATTTAAATGTCTTAAAATGATAAAGGATATCACATACGGGACTGAAAAAATAGTTTACCAAGACATTTTATAAAATAAAAAAAATAAATTTCCACGTGTCGCTGACGTGACATCTACGTAGCGATGACATGTCATTCGTGTCAGCGCCACGTCAGCCACGGCGGGCCACGTAGCGAGTTCGGCACCGGAAGACCCAGAAAACTTTTACTTACAAAACTATTTTCAGACATGGTCCACAGGACTAAAAAGACAATTTACTCATTTTTTATCTAAAGATTAAACAAATATTTATTTTTTTAAAAAAAATATTATATCAATATATATTTATATTATTTTAAATAATTATTGTAATTTCAAAATTTTACTAGTTTGAGTATAAATTTTAACTTCCAAAACTACAACAATGTTTAAAATTAGCATCAATATCATGAGTTAAATCAACATTAATAATATGCATACCCGAATTTTATAATGGAGATACCAGTCAAATCCAAAAACAATAAATTATTTCACTAATAATACACCTTATAAACTATTATGTAATCACCACGGCTATTCATTTGGTATTATTTTTAATAAAAATACATTATTTTATTTTTTTAAAAAAAAAACTATTAAATTAAAATATTATTTTTTAAAAAATAATCAAATCATTATTTGATATCAAATCAATTTCAATCTACAACCAAACAAATAAATATTTCATTCGTTCTAAAGTTTTCGCATTTTTTGTTTTATGCAATTCATATCGAAAACAACAAAAACCCAAATATGCAAAATAACACAAAGAAACTTGAAATTAGAGTTTGATTTGAATTTGAAATTTTGCTTTAAATTATAGTTTAAATAATATTTTAAACCTAATATTTGTTAACGATATAGGTGTATTTGTTTTCTAAAATATTTTGAATGAATATTTTTGTATGCAAGAGATAAGGAATCATGTAAATATATTTAATATATTAATTTTTTAAAAAAAAATTAGAAAAAAATTATAAAGAAAACACAACCTATAGGTTTTTTATTCAGAACCGACTTAATAATTTGAAAATAAGTTCGAAATCATAACCAAATAACTACAAAATATTTAAGGTTGCAAACTTACGTCCAGTCTCATGAGTGACATGAGCGAAAAATGCGGCGATCTCGCGCAAAGAATCCTGCGTCGAGCCCACGGTGCCAAACTGAGGATACGGCCGGATCGCCTCAAGAAATGCGGCCCGTGTGTAGAATCCCTTCCCCTCGCAATTCGCCGCGGCCTGATCGGCAATCCCATTAAAGAATTCTTGTGTCACTATGCTAGACACCGAATTGCCGTTGGTGGGCCGGGCAGAGCACGGCCCCGACTGGCAGCCTTGGCCGCAATAGTCACTAGTGTTGCCGCAGTAGCCCCACCGGCTGCAGCACAGCTCCGGCGCGCAGCCGCAGTTTTGGCCGAGGGCCGCTGCAAAAAAGGCTGCTGCAATTGCGAGAGAAAATAGAGATTTCATTAAAGCCATTTTAGTTCTTGTGGTAGAGAAGGTTGAACAAATTGTTTGGTATTTATAGGCGATTATAGCAATGAAATTGTAGTTTTGACTTTGTCAAAAATTGAAATTTGAGGAGCATAGGCTGCTGCTTTAATTGCTCTGTTTGAAAAATTTAAGAGTTTTGAGCATGTATACTTTTTAGAATTTTTTTATTCGATTAATTCGATAATAATTTTTTTTTAAAAAAAATATCACATCAAATATAATTTTTTTATAATAAAATATTATATTCCTCTGTTCCAAATCAAAATAGCATTTTTAATATTTTTCTGTCTCGTTTAAAAGCGTTGCTTTCATTTTTTTTAAATAATTATAAATTAATACTAAAATATCCTTTTAATTTTTATTTAAATTATAAATATATCATTATATATATATTATTTATATATCAAGTCAAATAAAAAAATATATAAAAATTTCTTACAAAAACTTCTACTAATCAATAAAATACTACTATTATTTTTCAATTTACTATAAAACTCAAAATGATCTTTTTCAATTATGACGAAAGGAGTATCAAAATTTCAAATATTTTTACAACCGTAATACGTTTGCGAAAAAATATATATATATTTGATTATTTTCTGTTCAGTAAAATTATATAAATTTAATTAATACGAAGATTAAAAGTAATAATATTTTAATATTAAAGTGGATAGTTAAAAAGTAAAATGAATAAGTAAAAACAGTAAGATTTTATAAAATTTTATTACCAAATTAATATAAAAAAAAATATATATATATATATAATAAAGTGATTATTATTTATTAAAAATAAAATAATAAAATTATTGGATAGATAAAAAATCTTATTATAAACGAATATTCTATCAATAGTGACGTAACTTTCAATTATTTTGTTGATTTGTTCTCTTTGTAAAGATGCTTTTGTCTTTTTTGACCTTTCTCCTTCACATTTCAAAGGTCTTTGTTTGACAGCAATTGGCTTCGAGAATATATATATATATATATGTATGTATATAGTTGACATTGTTAGTGTGATATGTGGTCAGACTTCCACTTCTTTGACCGTTTCATTATTTGTGTGTTGAACAGTCGATTGTATTATATTGGAGATTTTAGAAAATTTTAAATTTTGAACTCAATCCGTCCCATGTAATATGAGTGTATTACTATAGATACGAGAATTTAGGTAAAGTATAATTAATAAATAATTAAGAAATGTATTAGTAAAAATTATTATTATTTAGTAAAAATAATTATAGATTAAAATTAAGATAAGTAAATAGTTTAATTAAAATTAAGAAAATTATAAAATTTAAAATTTAAAATGCGATTAAAGTGCATAATTATATTTCTAAAAATAAAAATGACAAGTTATGTGGGACGAACGAAAAATAATAAATAGGGACAAATTATGTGGGACAGAGAGAGTATTATCTTATAAGAATAACTTATGAATATTTGATGTGATTTTTTTAACTATTAATTATAAATATTGATTTTTTTTTATAACGTGAAAATTCACAAACACTATTCGTTGAATGTGCTCTTTGTAAACTCCTAGCCGACTTATAGTATGCAAGCTATGTCCGATAAGAAAAGTCAGAAAAACAATATGAAATAGGCAAAACCTAAAAGCATCCTGAGTTTATCATAAGAATAATGATAAAATTTTAAAAAACATAAAACTTTGTCATGGGAATGTTAGGGTGTGTTTGTTCGTGGTTTTAGTTTTTTAGTTTAGATTTTTTAATAGTAAAAAACTGAATTTGAATAGTTATTTGATGTGATATAAATAGATGTTGATGTCATATTTTGAATGTAGAATAATTTTGTAGTATAATATAAAAAAAAAAAAAAAAAAGTTATTTGATATGATATTTTTATAGAGAAAAAAAAAATTTGAATAGTAAAAACTTACGGTAAAATCCACAAAAGAACACAATTATTAGGTAGGTTGTGTTTGTTTGTGGGGTTTTGAATTTATGTTTGGGTTGTGAATAGTAAAAGATTTTAATTAAATTTTTTTTTATTTTATTTTAGGTATTTACATTCTACTTTAATTGAAATTGTTAGTTCGTAATATAAAGATGTGTTCTACAGCTCACTAATGGCTTTATATTGCTATGATGTGATTTTTGTATGTAAAATTAAATTATGATCTTATATAATAAATAAAAATATATCCTCCCTCTGTCTTATAAATATAGTCTTAATTAGTTTGGACACGGAATTTGAAAAATATTGATATTATATTGGTAGTTGGTAAAAAATATGGATAAAAGACTTTTTTATCCTTACAAGTATATTAGTGTAAAAAATAGTGGCAATTGTGTAATAAAAATGAAAAAATATAAGTAGTTTTATGGTAATATAGTTATTTATGGAAATAAAACTATTGTTTTAGAACGGACAAAAATGGTAAATAATACTATTGTATTGGAACGAAGATAATATTAAATTTATTTTTTTTAATTGCCCAGCAAATTTGCATAATGCATTAGACCATCTTCAATTCATAATTCTATTTTTTTTTTTTTTTTCAAAATTTATATAACATTTTTCTATTTTGTGGATCTTTTTAATCATTCATCTTCAATCATACATTTTATTTTTACATAGTCAAAGAATATTTTCAATATATTATATTTTATATAGTTATTTTATTAAAATTTTGAAATTTACAAATATAATCAAATATTTAATATAAATATTAATTATAAAACTAAGGGTAAATTGTTTTTTTTAGTCTCGTAACTGGACCTCTTTATCATTTTAATCCCGTAAATGGAGCCTGTTGCAAACTAGTCCCATAAGTGAAAAATTTTCGCTGTTTTAGTCCTCCGGCGCCGGAGACGCCCGCGTGGCTCGCCGGAGGTGACGTGTCCGCCAGGTGTCCCGCAGGTTAGCGACACTTGGCGGACATGTGGATTTATTATTTTTTTCATTTTTTCTTAATTTTTTTAAATTTTTTTTAATTGGACTAAATAAAAAAATACAAATAAAATTAAAAATAAATTAAAAATAAGTTTAAAAAAAATTTAAAAAATAAAAAAATCCACGTGTCCGTCAGGTCAGCGACACCTGGCGGACACGTCACCTCCGCCAAGCCATGCGGACACTCCAGCACCGAAAAACTAAAACAACGAAAATTTTTCACTTATGAAACTAATTTACGACAGGTTCCACTTGTAGAACTAAAATGATAAGGGGACTAAACCAAATAGTTTAAACAGAAAAATAATAATAATTTTTTATTTGAACCGACCAGCTCATCGCCCGGATGATAATTGTATTTGTGTGATCGACGGTGGTTTACTTTAAATTGATGGTTACGGTCGTATGTATAAAATTATATATATATATATATATATCAATGTGGATGGAGAGTTTGTTACTTTAGTCACCAAATCAAACGACAAATTTCTACTATTCTGCCATTTTCAAAAATATACTTTTTCTATCATAAAATATTTTATCGTACATTATTTTGAATTAAATGCTACGCCTTTTGTTGGGCATCAAATCTTCTTTTTTGTTGTGATATTAGTATAATAATATTAAGGGAAAAATATCGCTTTTGATCCTAATATAATTAAAATTTATTAATTTTGATTTCAATATTAAAAACTCATCAATTTTAGGTCAATTATAAACAATTTTAATTAATTTTGGTCCGCCGTTAAAAAAACTAATGGAAATTGCTGATGTGGACGTAACGTAGGTGACGTGGCAGCTAACCTGGAAACTACACGCGGCTATATACAATTATACACGGTCATGTTGTCACATGGCCATGTATATTTCAATGTATAATTATACATTGTTGTGTTGTTACACGGCCATGTATCCTTCTGTTTTGGTTTAAATTTTTATTTTTTTTGTAATATTTTTCTATAAAAAATATTTTGAATTTAGAATAGTTGATATAGTTATATAATAAAAAAAAAAAGATCAATAGTAATCCTAATATAATTAAAATGTATTAATTTTAATTCAAATATAAAAATTTATAAGATATATTCTTTTGAAATATTTTGTCTAAAATTCTATTATTCATAAAAAAGTTTCTTCTTACAAACATCTAATTACACAAATATTTTTTTTATTTTTTGAAAATTATAGTAGTATTAAAAAATTAATTTATTATTTCAATACAATTATATATGTCTATATTGAAATTGTATTGAAATGTAAAATTAATTTTTAATACTATAATATACAAAAATAAAAAAAATAGTTGTGTAATTGAATGTTTTTAAAAAATTTATTTTTGGTAAATAATAGAATTTTTAAACAAACTCTTCCAGAATAACATACTCGATAAATATTTATATTTGAACTAAAATTGATATATTTTAATTATATTATAATTATTATTGATTTTTTTTCCATTTTAATATATGAACTATTTTAAATTCAAAATATTTTTTAAAATATATATATATAACAAAAAAATTAAATTTTAGGCCAAAACAGAAAAGTACATAGCTGTGTAGAATTATACATGGTTGTGTAACAACATGGCAATGTATAATTATATACTGAAATATACATGGTTGTGTGACAACATGGCCGTGTATAATTGTAAATGGCCGTGTAGTTTTCAGGTCAACTACCATGTCACCGCCGTTATATCAACGTCAGCAATATCCGTTAGTTTTTTAACGGTGGAATCAAAATTGATTGAAATTATTTATAATGAAATCAAAATTGATGACTAAAATTTTTTATAATAGGACTAAAATTAATGAATTTTTTATATTGGAACCAAGATTGATAATTTTAGTTATATTATGACCATAATTAATTTTTCTCTAATATTAATTAATAAATAAAAATATTAATTATTTTTACAACTAGTTATTATTTTATATTTTGTATATAATATGTATAAAGTAATATATATATATACTAGGTGTTTCTAGTGTGCTACTTGTGGGAAAATTTAAATTCGTAAATAAGATAATATTATATTTTTATTATAATTTTTTTGAGACAACAAATGAGAATCAAAATATTTTTAATATACCAAAAAAAATTATATTCGAACTTCTAGGGTAAAAAATACCCTAAACTATATATACAAAAACAATAAATGAACAAATTATACAAAAAAAAAAAAAAAAGAAAAGATAAAAATTGTTTTATTTAAAATTATAAAAAAAGAAAAATTAAATAAAGTGGGGATATATTCATTTACCATATGTCTGACTCAATACCTTTTTATTAAAACTATAATTTATATTCTTGAATATATATAAAATTAAAATATGATATATGCTTACACATACAGTTTTAAAGAAAAATGTTTTGAAATTAAAAATTAAATCAAAAAAGGTTACTAATAAAAAAAAAAAAAAGTAAACACACCCTAAGATTTAAAAAATAAAAAGTTAAAATTAATGTCAACCTGCATCTTACACTACCGGAAAATAAGTCATTTGGCGCAATTTTACGGTACCAAATTTATTATATTGGCGCAGTTTTGTTGCGGTCCATCTTCGGTAACTTGGTTCCAATTCAAGTAGTAACGGATTTTTCGTACCTCTAGTCAAAACAAGAATAAAAAATAGCGCTCAAAATGGCGCCTACAATCTAAAAAACATAAATGCAAATTATTGCGCCAAAAGCTTGCGCCAAGAAAATAAAATAAAATAAAGAATTTGTGGCGCCAAATTGCGCCACCGCAAATAAGAGAAAAAACCTAGACACCGAAAGGGTGGCCGAGCAACGCCGAGAAAGACGCAGACGGATGCCGAGTCGGCGGCGCGCAAACACAGAGAGGTTAGCGGAGACTCTTCAAGATGTTCCGGAACCTCCTTGAATATTCTGGAACATTCTAGATATCCCGAGATTGCCCCTCAATCGAATTGATGATATTATCAATTAGAATTAGATTATATGTATCTCTTTACTTAGATATCTTTATCCATATCTCTTCAGATATTTATATCTGTAGGTTAATAAGATATAGCAAATCCAAGTGTGGATTTGATAAGATATGGCGTATTCATATCTTGCTAAGATTTAGCATATCCATGATAGAGTAACTATATAAAGGGAAGGAGTCCTCACTTGTACTTCACTTCAATTTTGAATCAATAAAACACTCTTCTTTGCCGAGTGCATCTTATAGTGTTCTTGGTTTTAACGTGTGTTGGAGTCATGTGCGAGGCTGCACTAGCGAGTTTTCGAGGGAGTCGAAGAATCGCTAGGCCGACGGGAACGTGTTCGAGGAGGAACCAGAGCTTTGTTCCAAGGAGATGACGACAGACAAGTCAGTTGCTGAGTACGAGGTCGAGAACCAAGTTCATAGGGACCAGGAAGAACGCCAAGGATAAGGCTACTGAAGTCATGGGTCTTTTGACGGAAGGTTGGCTAAGGTGGAGCTGACTGTCGGAGATCACTACGATGGAGCTTGCTGAGGCGCTGAAGGCCGAGGTGGTCGCATTGAAAGACGTTGTGGCGGAGTGCAAAGTCCAGATCGTGAGGATGGAAAAAGTGAAGGTTGCGGAGCCTTCAAGAACAGAGCCCTCAAGGGTTCAAGAGGAGTTGGCAACGTTGAGGGCAATTTTAGTGGCACAATTGCCATACCCAACAAATAACCATTTATAATTATGCAAATTATGCAATAATCATGGCTATAATAGTTGACAATTATAATACATTATGCAATAATCATGGATTTAATAGTTGACAAAATTATAATACATTATCCAATAATCATGGATATAATATTTGACAATTATAATATATTCAGATTAAATTCTATTAAAAAAATAAATAAATCACATGAACGTAAAAGATAACAATATTATATTACTTATGTGGTTGTTTTACAAATAATTAGCCAAAGCTCAAACCTTCTTCTTGGAAGCCTTCGTGCAATGGAAAGTGACAGCAATGCCTTGTTAAAACATGATTGAAACTGCATTGAAAGTTCAGAAAATAATTTACTCAAATAAAATTGCTATCATCTAGCCTCTAATTTATAATCTCTATAGTTACTATCTATCTATATTTTAGGCAAAATGTTAGGCATTGATTAGTAGAAGATATCAGCTTGATATTCTCCCTTCCATTGTATCTTTATATACAGAAAGAAATAAGACTTGAGTAAGTTACCTTTTGTAAGAAATCTGGTCTGCCATGCTCTCTGTGCATGTTGTTCTGCATGTAGCATTCTTGGTTCTTCCTACATCCTCAATCATCTACTCTGGTTGCATCTTTAATTATCTGCAATAGACAAAAAAAGCAAAAGAGAGAAAAAACCAACATGGCCGTCTTAACTTCTTTTTAGTTTAACTTTTATAATTCTACTTCTGAGTCTTGTATCAAGAAGTTCCGGCAAGTTCACTGTCTTGTTCAAGGAATTAGCTTCTGAGGAAGAATACTTTTTAAACATTGTTGTGTTCTAAGGCATATAGTATAGTACTGAATGAATAAGGAACATAAATAATTAGAGGATGTACCGAGTAAATCTCCGAATCAAGAAGATAGAATTCCGCCTTTGCCCTGAAGCTCATGTTGCTTCTTCCGGGAGACATTATCGTTAATAGTTTTAGCTATACCGGAAGAGAAAGTATAGGACAGCAGCCAGGCCATAGATGTATTGAAGATCATAGACATTATTACATATAATGAATATATTAGAGCTATTACATATTATAGCCCACACACACCACAAGGAAGTACAAATTCTCTTCGAATATATTTCCAGTACAAATTCTCTTCGACAACTTCATAATTTAGAATAACAAATAATAGAACATCACAAAGCGAATTAAAATTACAGCAACACTAACAGAAATGTATGTATGTATGTATGTATAAGGAGAAAAGTCAGAATCTTTAAAGCCTTGCAACAGAGATTGTCAATCTATATGTATCATTGAAGAAGTATAAGCATTATAAATTGTATAGGATAAAAGTGGCGATTTACGATATTGCATCCATAGCACACAGTTCTAATTAGATATCTCTTTCCAAGAGTCTCATAATATAAATAAGACACACTACAAAAAAATATCAATTTTATAACAAAATTTTTCGTTGTTAAATCCACTTTTTCCGTTACTAATAATATTAGAGGTGGAATTACGTTAGCTACGTGAACTTTAGGAACGGAATTCCGTTACAAATATACTATTTTTTTGTAGTGACAATACTAAGGAGCCAACCATACCTGATCCTATGCTTGCAACGAATATGTCTTCTGCATAAGCAGCAAAACCAAGCCTCCATCCTACCGCTGTAAGACTTCATACGCAATGCCTTTTTTCCTGAAGAAACACCAAGCATTAGACTTCTGTTACAAAAAGGTGAGCTTCAAGATAACAACAAAGTTCTAGCACCTTAAATCTGGGTTCCTGTCCATCACAATTGATATTGCTTCCTTGACAGATATGTCATTGCTCTGTTCGTTCCAAGGGCAATGCATTAGTTAGCCATGTATTTAGAGAAATGACATATTCATGAAATGCAATCCCGCCTCCTAAAGAATTTTCTTGAATGCAACTCCAGCTATACTTTGGGGAACTTGGTTGCCATTCATGTCAGAAAATGCATAACTGAAAAGCACAAAAGTAAAAATCAAAATCCTTACAAATTGTAGGCGATGTTGAATGATTCTCAAGTTCAAAAAATCATGCATTATATATATATGTTCCAAAAGCATACATTTATATAGAAACTATAATAGATGCGTAACTGAAACAACACATTGCGATTCCCTTATTCAAGCATTTAGAATTCGAGAAAAATGATTGCATAACATTGCTTAGGGAACATTTAACAAGTTTTCACAAAGCCTCGAAAATTCAAAACTCTGCAACAACTAATAGATTGGGAAACATGAGAGGATTTCAGATTTTATTATTTTGTCAAGAAAACAAATGCTTCTAAAAGAGTGATAGTTAAACATTGTGTCGATTATAACGGTAACAATAGCAGTGCATAAATTTAGTAGCAGTTGCATATGTCTCCAGATCATGATCATAGAGGATAGAATCATCTCCACTTGTGCGATGTAACCTTAGTCCCAAACAATGAATAACAGGAGACAATGGGTTCTCATTGCAAACACCATGTAGCCTGAGTATAGCCACAATTAACTTTTCTGAGCATACCAACAAAACATATTCGTTTCAGTAACCTAACCTAATTCTTGAGGTACAGAGCCAGCTTTAGGTTGGAACTAACCTAATTGCCTCATTTCAGTATCCACGGTTCCACCATCATCTTCTCTGCTGCCGTCGCCGTTGCCGAGATCTGAAAAACTTTGTTACTCTAATTAGATTTGGCAAACATTTTCCCCATCTAGCAGTTCAACTCAAACATTCCTAATACACTAGAGAAACTTAACTATAAAAAGTGAATGGCTACACAAAACCAAATACAGTTATACATAGAGATAACGAATTGCAATTCGATAAAAGCTTCGTCGACTCAACCAAAATTAGAGTTCGGAGAAATGAATGAAGGGAGAAAGAAAGTTTTTATTTCAACACTCACTATACAGCTTCGAGAGAGGATTCCGGCGGCTTTATTTTGTAAGGCCATGTCATACTCCATTTATCCAGTTTTAACTCCAAATATGCAACTGGTACAGTAACTCCATTATTCACTATTATTCTTCAAATATTCAATTTTTCCTATTATTTTAAACAACTTTTTATTTTTATAATTTAAAATAAAAATTTTAAAAGTTTTAAAAAATAAAAATTAAATTTATAATTTTAAAAATTAAAAAAATTAAAAAATATATATATAGCAACGCCCAGTTTTTGGCGTTAGCGTTGCAAATTTTTGTCGTTAAATTTGGCGAACCCACGCCAAAAATACCAACCCAGCGCTATCCTAAGACGATTCCGGCGCCCTTCCCAAGAAGCCGAATGGTACTGCCGGGGAGACGAAGGTGTCGAATTATTATTTCAACTAATTTAAATTATAAACTTTAATTTTAAAGCTATGGGCGAAAATAGCAGTGACTCCTCTATTATTTAAAATAAAAAATAAAAAGCATGGTGCGAGAATTGGAGCCTTATAAATTTTATTTTAAAATAAATTTTATATTTATATTTTATTTTATTAGTAATTTAAAAATTAATACATTGTATTTTTTATTTTATAATTTATTTTAGTACTCAAATACTTTAAATTCATTAGATGAAATTGTATATATGCAAATTCAATGCAAAAGTTAAAAAAATAAATCAAAACAAACCATCATTGTACCGATAGATTCATATTTATATGTGAGCATACAAAATTAAATGCAAGAGCATACAAAATTTTCATTGTCTTCAAATAAAATAAATAAAAATTATTATGAGGCGCCGAAATTGACAACTATTTTTTTTATAATAATTTTTTTTAACATAAAGTTTCCAATTTCCGCACCATCATTTTATTTAAAAGGAATAGGCGCCGAAGTCCGGACCTTATTTCTTTTAATTAAAAAAGAAAATTAAGCAAATAACACAACGTATGCTATAATAAATAAGTATTTTTTTTATATAGAATAATAAGCGCCAACTTTAGCGCCTTTATATTTTATTTTTAAAAAAAATAAAAATTAGACATGTAAAACGGCACTTGAATAAAAAAAATATTATATAAGAAAAATATAAAGTCCGATATTCTGCGCCAAAGAGTAAGTATGTATATTTTGGTGCGAGGTTTGGCTACTAATGTTGTCCGTGCCATACTGCGCCACCTCACACCAAATGTAGTTTTTTTGGGTGGTGTCATATATATAGTTTTTTTTAAGAATACTAACATTCCAAAAAAATAAATACAAATATTTTCTATATTTTATATGTATGAAGAAATGTAAGTAAATGTATAGATTAATTTTAAAATATATAGAATTTACACAAATTATTAGTATAATTGTATTTCGAGATGTATATTATTCTTTACATACAATTTCACTTAATATTTTTCTTCCTTTTACTCCATTATCTATTATTTTAATAATCATATTGTCGTAGAAAGCAAAAAAAATAAGAAAGAACTATAAAAAATACATTACTTACTTTCATTTTGTATTTTGTAAAGAAAAAAAAAAAGAAGCGAATCTTCCTCATAATTTTTTATTTCAAAATAGAAATCCTATACCTAATAAAAAATAAATAAATAAATTTCGATAAAAATAAATGTAATTATATTATACAAAATAAATGTAGGGTGTGTTTGTTTGGGGGATTTTCCCTAAAATTTATTATTCATCAAAAATAATTTCTTCAAAAAAATATCAAATCAAATACTTATTTTTATCTTATACTAAAAATCAATTTTACATTCAAAACATCGCATCAACACCTATTTATATCACATCATAAAACTATTTCAATTCAAATTTTGTACTGTTCGAATCTCAACTCAAAATAGTAATTCCAACTCAAAATTTAAATCGCCAAACAAACACACCCGTAATATCATTATATAATAGAACTAATAAATTTAATAATGTTGTCTAAAATAATACTCCACTATAATAAAATAAATAATTATATCTATTAAATTTTTAGTACAATAGATAGAGATGAAAATAAATAATAAGGGAAGGGGTATTTATGTAATTTTATGTAGAGTTAAGGCATATATATGTAGTATTGATATTGATATTGATATTGATGTTGGTATGTTGTGTGTGTATGTACTAAATATAGATATAAGTGTGAATATGTAATATGAAATTATGAATTAGTGTGGGGATAACCTGGTGGTATGAAGATGGGTTCGTGATCGTGAGATTATGAGTTTAAACTTCAACGATTATCTGATTGAATTTATTGCATATCGATTTCACCATTCTGTTGAAGATCGTAAGTGAAAAATAATTTTGACGAAATATTTTTCGTTCTATATCCTTTAATATAACCCCTTTTAAATTGGCTTGTATAATCATATTATATTCGTACATATAGTTGGGGGAATTTTATCTTCGGATATAAATCCGTAATTTTTTAGAATATGTTAGTCATTGATTTCAACCAAACACATTCTCGACCAACTTCATGTATTTCCAATGACTAAAATGCAATTTGTATTGAACACATGAATTCGAACCTAGCCACGACCAGAATACAAAAACTGCGTAGGCGGTGGAGGCGTTCGGCGTCGTCGGCAGCGGAAACCAAATAGGGCTGAAATATTGAAAATGCAATAGCAGGAGAGAAAATAAATAAATAAATCTGCAGATGTAAAAAATGTCAAGGACTAAAATGCAATTTGTATTAAATTATGAATTTTAGATTTTCACCACCACGTGTTGTCCATTTATTGGTTCGACTGGATAGACAGTTAAGATTTTAGACCGATGATCCATGCATATAATATATATTAAAAATTGTATCGAAAAAAAAAAAAAATAATCAATTTGAGCTAAATCTAAATGCTATAGTGCTCTTATGGTTTTTTATCATAGACTTTAGGTTTCGTTGAATTAATTTAACATTCTATATGCAAACCGAAAAAAATGATTATAATAAATAAATTCAAAGCATAAATAATTTTTCTTCGATGAACAGATTCCAGTCTAATTGAATTTGATTCGAAAGACTATATATTTCAAGCCCCGTTGGATTTGATTTGGGAAAAACAAAAATCAATCAAATATAGATAATCTAAGTGAGAATACATAAAATAATAGCTGACATAATATTTTTTTAGAAATATATATATATATATATTATTGAAAAATCAAAGTTTAAATAATAAAAATTGTGAAAAGAAAATAATGTTAAATTATAAAACTTTATTTATTTATTTTTATTTTTATTTTTGCTCCGATGGAGTCATGTGGTTTCGGGTTGTGGTGGAGTTATCTCGTTTTCGGCCATTTTATTTTCAACTCCGGTGGAGTCATCTTATTTTATCTCCAGTGGAGTCATCTCGTTTTCGGTTCCGGAGAGTCATCTCGTTTTTTGCTCCGGTAGGTGAAGAATCAACTACTAATTTTATTTATGTTTTCTTTTTGCATTTATATTCAAATTTCTTATCAAACTCAAGTTGGTTTCTGATATACCACTTGAGTTTGAGGGGATGTTGAGATACTTTAGATATTCAGTTTTAGATTTCGTAGATTTATATATAGATTTGATCTTATTCGTAGATTAGATTAGTAATTGTATTGTCCATGTATAGGCTCTTATTTTGATGATTAATAAGACAATCTCATTATTTTTCCCCAAAATTTCTAACACTTTATAAGCACGAAGTACTTCATTTTTGTAGCAACTAAAGTAAAAATATAAGTTGATCAGAAATTTTACTACAATCACAGACTTCAATTATTACTTAAAAAGTATATTCCCTGCATATTTCTCTTTTATATTATTTTATATAAATTTTCATATTTATAAATTACACCATAACTTTAATTTATTTTTACATTATCACTAAAAAAATATATAATTCAAATTTTATTTATAAAATTATGTATATCTCTTTTTAAAAAATAAATTATATATTTTTTAAAAAAATTAAAAGTACACATCACTTTAAAAAAAAATTATGTATTACTCTTTTTAAAAAAAATTATGTATTAATTTTAAAAAATTATTTAAAAAAAATTATGTATTTTGTTCGTTTTACTGTAGACACGGGAATTTAGGAGGGGTATAATTAGTAAATAATTAAAAATATATTAGTGAAAATAATTATCGTATAATAAAAATAATTATAGATTAAGATTAAGATAACTTATTAATATAATTAAATTTTAAAAAATTATAAATTAAATTTTTTAAAATAAGATTAAAGTATATAATTCTTTTCCAAAAAAGAAAAGTGACAAAATAAGTGAGACGGACGGAGGAAGTAGAAATATGAACATGAGAAGTGGGACGAAGAGAGTATTATTTTTAAAAAATAAAATTATATATCACTTTAAAAAATAAAATAAAATTACATAAAAATACCCCAAAATAACAAAAATACATAAAATACTTCACTCTAAAAATAAAAATAGAACCCCCATAAATAGCTGAGAAAATAAGATTGAATTGGAGCCTCAATCCCTCCAATTTTTTGCCAACCCGCTGCATAAATGCAATGGCTTGGAAATAATCTAATAACCTAAAACAACTTGGAACTTGGCATGTATGGTGCCACGTCCCCAAACTTACCTTGCCAAAGCTCATGTATTTTGAATAATTTTTTTGCAATATAATTACTTTCTTCCCTTATATTATCATGATCAATATTTATTTTGCCTGTCAAATTTATTTACATTTTTCTTTTTAATTTGATCATCAAATTTACTCATTATTAATTTTGACAAAATCGACAAATCAATATTTATTTATTATACTTTATTCAACACTTATTTACGGTAAATATGATTATCTTTATTATATTCTCTATCCTCAATAAAAAATACCTCTAAACATTTTTTCCATAAAATATTATTTTTTAATATTCGTCCCGGACCCAAATGTTCTAAATTTATCGGAGGGATTTGGAGTATTGATTATTACTAAATACTTTCTCCGTCCCAAAACTAAAGTCTTATTGAGGTTCGGTATGAGATTTAAGGAATATTGATAGTGGGTAAAAACCACGAGTAAAAGACTTTTTTTGTCCTTGTGAGTGTATTGGTGTAAAAAATAGTGATATTTATATAATAATAATGAAAAAATAAGGATAATTTTATGGTGATATGTATATTTATGGAAATGAGACTATTGTTTTTAAATGGATAAAAATAATAAATAAGACTATTGTATCAGGATGGAGAGAGTAATTAATTTTCTTCTTTGATTGTAAAATTTAAGTTATTATTTGGACTGTCCTTATAGTTTATTAGGCTATGTATATACTCTCTATTACATATCTTGAAATTACTAGTAAAAGTACTAGCTTGGCCGCTCCAAACGTAAATAATTCTGATCGAACTAATCATCAAATCTTTACATTCTTGTGTAATTTTGATTTCCTAATTTCCCTAATATTTAAGACACTTGTGATCTATAACTCTAAAACTCTCTCTCATATACACCAACATTACCTTAGTTGTGTATGTGCCTAAAATGAAGATCAAATTGCAGTCTTCCATTCTTGTGAAACCAGCCGAGCCGACGCCCAATCAATCTCTGCCATTATCGGAGCTAGACATGGTTTCAGGCAATTATTTCGTGCCCTTAATCTACATCTACAAACCCTCCAAAGACCGTTCTTACACTTCCATTTTCGACACATTCCAAATGTCCTTAAGGAAAGTGCTGGTCCCATTTTATCCATTAGCCGGTCGCCTCAGCTTCGCCGGCGGCGGCGGGAATCTGCAGATCGACTGCAACGGCAAGGGAGTTGAGCTCACGGAAGCCATAGCCGATTCTGCGTGGGACGAGGTCAAAGAGACGGACTATGCTGACCTCATTCCGGCCGTCGATGCTGCCGCCGATTTTCCGGAGCTCCCTCTTCTGGCCGTCCGAATCACCGCCTTCAACGGCGGCGGAATTTGCCTCGGCGTCAGAATGTGGCACCCGGCGGCGGACGGACTCAGCGGCTCCCATTTCTACGCCGAGTGGGCGAGAATTGCGCGCGGGGAAACCCTGGAGAGCCACCCTTTTATTGATCGGAAACTGTATTCAGCTCCGGCGGCGGCGGCTCCGCCGCCGCCTCCGGAGTTCGAGAAACCGCCGATCCTGATCGGAGATTCTGGCTGCGAAAAGGAAATGAAAATTCCGATTTCGAAGGCGTTTCTGAGGCTGTCGAAGCCCCAAATTGAAACCCTAAAAAAGTCAGCAAACGAGAAAAGGGGTTCGTGCAGAGGAGGGTTTTCCCGCTTCGAGTCGATAACAGCACACATCTGGAGGTGCACGTGCAAGGCACGTGGCCACAAGCCCCACCAGAAAACACGGCTGACCACCTCCGTCGACATACGCCGCCGGGTGGACCCGCCGCTGCCGAGGACGTATTTCGGCAACGCGGTGGTCGACGTGGCCGCAGTCGACTGCGCCGGCGATCTGACGTCGAAGCCGCTGTCGTACGCCGCCGGGAGAATCAGAGAAGCTGTAAGCAAAGTCACTCCGGACTACATCAACACGACGGTGAACTTTCTTAAAAGCGTCGTCGGCTCATCCTCAGCCGTCGATGATAGCCTCGTATTCACCGGAAACCCTAATCTGACGGTGACGAGCTGGCTGTCGTTGGAGCTTAATGGGCTCGACTTCGGGTGGGGGAAAGAAGCTTACATGGCGCACGTGTCTGAAAATTGCGATGGGGACTTTGTGGTGATGCCCGATGATGAACACAATGACGATGACGACGATGAAGAAAAGAATAGGCATCGATCTGTGGTGGTGGCAGTTTGTCTTCAAGAAGCCCATATGGAACATTTCAAGAAAATTTTCTACCAAGACATAATCCAGGTTTAATTTAATCCTATTAAAAGATTTGAATGGCCGTTTAATAAAAAAATTTAAATTGTTTGGTATACGCATTATTGATTTATTTATCTACTATATATGAAAGTCAAACTCGAACTCGAAACCTAAGACTCTAATGATCCAAAAGACAGTCATATATCTCCTAGCACGGTTGACTTTTTGTATATAGATAAATAAATTAATCATGCGTATCCTGAACTGCTTAAACTTTTAGGTGAGACTATCATTTCAATCATCTAACAGCATCAAATTTAATTTGGAGACTTCTTTCCACAATTCGACATGAATAAATTAGCGGTTTGAATCCCAAATAAAATCTATCTATCATGATATTGAGAGTGTGTTTAATTTAATTTGTCCGAGGATTGTTAAATAATGGTTTTCTTTGTAGTACTATATAATATTGACCGCAATGGTGAAATGTGTTCAATTTGCTTGAAGAAACCAATCGACATTGTTTACGCTTATTTGGTTGGATAAATTTGAATTTTACTATGGATTTGAATTGCTTCGAAGTAATTGAAATAATTTATAATTTAAATTAATTGTTTGAATGTAAAAAGAATGCGAAATGGCAACATATTAAATACTCTCTCCGTGCTAAGCAAAATAAATTATAATTTTATTAATATTAAGTAAACTATTTAGTTATTTTAATCTTAATTTATAATTATTTTTATTATATAAAAATTAATTTTACTAATAATTATTTATTAATCATATTTTACCAAAATTCTTATGTCTACTGGACACTTTAATTGGGACGAGTAGTATATAAGTATTTTTAAAAAACATAAAATAAAATCAACAAATTTTGTAAATTTAAAATATATTGATTAATGGCAAAGGAAAATATACATATGATATATAAAGGCTGTGTTCTTTTAATTTTTTTTTACGAATTTTTTAAAAAAAAATTAATACACTATACACATATATTATTTTTATATTCTATATATAATTCTCTATGCTCACATAAAAATAAAAATAAAAAAAAAATTATTTTTCAAACATCTAACAAAACAAACACACCTAAAATTTTCTGAAAACATCCATTGGCGTATTTGATTTGCATTTCAAACTCTAATCAAACATTATTTATTTTTCATTATTTTTAATAAAAATATAATATTTATTTTCATAAAATATTTATTAAAAAACTATATAAATTAAAACCAAACAAAACCCCTAATAGTTAGAGGTTGGCAAAACTTTTCAAAGAATGGAACCGAATTTTTAATATTGCTTATTTGATATTTGTTAAGTTCAAAAATTAATTTCAGTTTTCAATATATTTTTGGTTCGAAACGAATATTATTATATTCAATATATTATTTTTAAAATTTTATTTATATAAATTAAATTATTATTATTATTATTTAAAATTAATAATAAAATTAGTTGAGCAGACCCAACTCAAACCATTCAGTTTCCTCTAAGGGGGAAATAGGGGAGGGTAATAGACATTCCCATAAAAATAAATAAAATAAAAAATAAAATAATAATAATAATAATAATAATGAAGAAGAGTTATCATCAAAAAACCAAAAAAATTATAAATAAAGGCCTTCAAACATTTTTTTTTATTACCTTATCAGTTTTTTCATTATCCTTATTCAAAATGTGTAGAACTGCACACATGTGTTACATCTTCGAAGAATCGTTTACTGTCAATAAAAATGGTAAAAAAAATTAATTTATTAATCATTACCAAAAAGAATTTAAAATGTAAAATTCTCAAATTTAAAATTTTAAAAAAATTCATATATGAATACAACTCAAATTCATTTTAAAATATCATGATTATCTATATATTTTTCAATCATTTAAACTTTTGTAACTTTTTATATCCAATTCCAATAAAATAACTAAAGAAAGTAACTATCTTTTCAACTAACTCTTGAACAAAAATATCAAAAATAAAAATTCTTCTGACAATGTATCAATTTATGTTTTTTTAATCATTTAAATTTCAAACCATCGATACTATAAATTCTAATAATTCCAATATTTCAAAATAATAATTATTATTATATGATATAATTATCACAATTTATATAAATTCATATTTAGAGTTAAAGATACTACTACTTTCGTCCGACTCTAAGGGTCTCATTTACTTTTTGTGTGTTGATCTTTGAATATTAATTGTTATATCAAAACGTAGTACAAATTAAGAAAAAATTGCAAAAGTACTTATATTAGTATCTTATAATACTAATAGGACAATATTTGTACAAAAATATTATACAAACATAAAGATATTTTTAATGTTAACTACAATGACGCAAAAAGTAAATATAACCCTTAGAAGCGGATTGGAGTGAACATTATATATAAATATTAAATATATATTATTCGATAAAATCATATAGAATTAAATAAATTATTATGGTCCCATGAGTTAAAAAGATAATTAATCATAGTATAGGTGTTAAAAAGAAATAATGTGAATGCTGAAATGAATAAAACGTAGGCAAAAGAGATAAAGAAAATACTCCCTCCTTCCACACACAAAGTAAACATTTATTTTTAACGCAATGTTTAAGAAATAATGGGTAATTAAAAGTAGTGTAATGACATTTTTGTCTTTACCTTTTGGTATAAAAGTAATAATGTAATGTAAAGTAAGAGTATTTTTGGAAAAAATTGAAGCATTTAATTAAATATTTACTTTGTAATTAAACGTCTCAATATAGAAATATGTATACTTTTTAACTGAACTGAGGGAGTAATATAATGGAAATAACAATGAGAACAAATGCTCTTTAAAGTTATAGTTGAAATCAATTCATATTAAAGTATCTCGTACAATTATGTATTACCTTCACACAATTATTTATATTATCTCTTGAAGTAATATCATAATTCATATACCTTCGACTAATTATATTTTACACATGAATCCCACGTTTTTTACATTATATCTATATATGTGTATATATTCTTTCCGTCACAAAAAATAGCACATTTTAAATGGGCGTAGAGATGAAAAAAATAAATATTTTATTAAAAAAATAAAATAATAAATAATTAAAGGTATTTTTGGAAATTAATTATATGAAATGAAGAAAAACAATGTGATAAAAGTAGGGACGACTCATAGCGAGGAGGATGAGCACCTGCTCAGCGCCCCTAATTAATAGATAGTCCATAATTTAAAATGTTATTTATTATTATTATTATTAAATTTTAACTTTAGTTTATATTAGTTTTTACATAATTATCTAATTTAATTTTAAAATTAAATTTTAAATTCTAATAATATATTTTTCTTTTCCTTTTTCTTCCTAATCACACCTCACAATATCTTTACAAATTTAATCGTCGTCTATACTTCTTTACCTCACACCCTATCACATTGCGCCCACCAACTCAGACTAAACCCGCATCACCTAATCGACATGGTCCAGATCATTACGCTTAACCTCTTGTTCAATTGACGCCAATCAGTGATATTATTTTAAAAACACGTTTTAATCATGTGTTTATATAAGACCTATAATTTGTTTTCGATCGGGGCTCCAAAAAAATTTGAGACGGCTCTGAATAAAAGTAGTAACAATTATGGTAAATAAGTGTTGAATTGAAAATAATATTTAAATGTAGAATATTTAAATCTGTCAAGATTAGTAATGAGATAAATTTATTGAGTAGACGAAAAATAAATATGAAAGTAAATTTGACTGACGGATGAAATATATATACGTGTGTATGACTCAATCAAATTCTTCTCATATATAATAATAATAATAATAATAATAATAATAAATAGATCACTTTTAAATAAATTATTATAGGTCACTTCGGTAGTTGAGCCGGATAAATTCAATTCTAGCTGGATCAAATTAATGTCAAAGTTATATACTACATACGACTATTTATACTATTAAGTTATAAATACTACTACAACAACTACTACTAAATAATAATAATAATAATAATAAATATAGTCCCACGTGTCCTGTTTTTTTCAATTTCAATGATTAAAATAATAATAAATAAATAAATAAATATTAAGGAACTAATTGATTTACATACATATTTTTTAAATTTTTGGTACTATTTACCAAGGATAACTAAAAATCAAAAACAAAAAGTATACACTAAGGAGGTGTATTCGATCACACTTTATAGGATTTAGGATTTTGTTGGACATTTTAAATTTGAGTATATTCAATTCAAATTTTTAAAAGTCTTTTCGGAATTATTCAATGAAGATCTTTTAAAGTCTTTTAAAATTTCGATGTATTCAATTCAAACTTTTAAAAGTTTTTCAAAATTATGAGGTATTCAATCTGAATTTTTAAAAATCTTTAAAAATCTTAGATATTCAATAATTCATAAATTTTAAAAATCTATAGATTTTATTGGTTTTTAATGAAAAATTCTGAAAATTTTGTATAGTAAAAAATCTTTCTTCATAAGCAGAGATTTTAATGAATTTTTTAAATTTATTATTATTAATTATTATTATTGTTCTTGTTATTATTATTGTATAAATGATAAATAATATAATAATATTTATTAATATTATTATAATTTTTAATAAAAATAATAATTTAAATATATTAGAAATTATTATCAATTTTTTTGAAAAAATATATTTTTATATTATAAATATAACATTAAAAAAAATTATTATCATATGTATTACTCACGTCTTTCTTTTTCAATTATCGAATATAATACTCACTATGTCCCGTAACTATAGTCTTAATTGATCTGGGCACGGGATTTAAGAAATATTGATATTATATTGGTAGTTGGTAAAAAGTATGGATAAAAGACTTTTTTGCCCATGTGATTGTATTAGTGTAAAGAGTAGAGACAATTATGTAATAAAAATGAAAAAGTATTGGTAGTTTTATATTGATATGATTATTTATGTAAATAAGACTATTGTTTTTGGACCGATAAAAATGGTAAACAAGATTATTGTATTTGAACGGAGGGAGTATATTGTTATTCTGGTGTCATTCTCCCTC